TTGGGCTCAGGTCACTTGGGTTCCTGACCTTAGGAGTGATCTCCTACACAGGAGCTGAAGGGCAGGGCCAGAACAGAGCATTACTGGAGACACCTGGATTACTGAGGAGCACCTGGGCAGTGAGGGCAAGGGAACAGTTAGGCTGCTCTGTCACACCATCGCTTTTATTAATAGAAACAATATTATACAGGTGCAAATTCACACAGAGGACTATACAGACAACATTCCCTCATAGACACACATGAAGTATTTTAATATGGGAGCCGCTCTACCAGCTCCTCACAGCCAGCCTGGTGTCCTGTCCTGGTAGAAGCAAAAGCCAAGTCCAGGAGCTAAAACCAGAGTGGGTGTGCGTGCCATTCCTTCCGTTTATTTCCCAGTGTTCAGCCTCAGTGCCTGAGGACAGTCAGAGCATCTGTGGGTAAAAGTTTACAGGGGGTTTCTTTGCACAGGGAGAGTGCAGTTGGCAAGATTCATGTGGCTTCACTCTTCCTCCCTGATCCGCTTTCTCTGCCATGATTCATTAGCAGCATCATCCTGGCTGTTCTGTACCTTTTGAGACACATCAAAATGTTGCTGTGAAGTAAAAGGAGTATTACCCCTTGGCAGGATGAGAGCAGAATGCAGTGCAGGCAAGGATGCAAACCAGAATGGACGTATCTGATAGCTCTAGGAAGCCTTTGATTAAATATAGACGTGGAACACTAATACATGGCTGTGAGGGAAGTTTAATGTTGTGTGATAGAGCTGAGAAATGTATAGAGGCTGATTCTTATCTCACACCGGTTTTGATTCTGTTGAGATATTAATCTGCTTCTGCTTTTTACCAGAAGGAATGTGGAATAAGGCTCAAAAGTGGGGGAAGAAAAGTATTACACCATTTATTTCTTTGCAGCACTGCCCATTTCTATCTGCTCAAGATCTGACCCATAATACTTGGCAGTCTGTGTACCTCCCAGCCGTCTGTAACAGTAGTCATCCTATTTTTTTTTTCCTTCCAAAATAGCAGTTTTATGTTATTGTCTCCCAAAGGCATGGCTCATAAATAACTCTGCCACGCTGTATAACCATTCTAAATGGAATTTATACACTCTGATATATTTTGGGGAATATGTTAAGGAAGGGTTTTTTATTATGCTATCTTTACATGTCATCATAGTAATAGCTGTTGCATTATATTTGTTTCATCTCAGCAAAAAAATACTGGAATAACAGATGAAAGATCAGAACACTCGGTTTTCTTGTGACACTTGCTGGCTTGGATTGGGGTTCTTGAAGCATTGTCATCTGGGTGACATGCTTAGAGGGCTCTCTGACCCCTTTGAGTCACAGAAGATCTCAGGGAAATTTTTAGTAATAATATTCCTCCTTGATTCCTTCGTGAACTCTGCTTAATGTTAATTGAAGTTCTCTTCAAATCTCCTTACATTAATTTTGGCTTCTGCTTCTTTCAGTTCCTCCACCTTTGAGCAACTTTGATATGTCCTTGAAAAAAGTCTGTCCCCTGGATGGGCTTTTCAGGCCCATGGAGAGGTTGAGGAGTGATAGATGCAGTGTGCATTCAGAGGGGTGTGGGAATGGAAGGCTGCTGGGAGTGTGCTTTCTGATTTACTCTGCTTCCTAGCAGGAAGACAGACAGCTGTATTTTTCTTTCAGGAGAACTCCAGAGTTCTGAAGCAAATCTTTATCCGGAGCCGAGATGTGAGCAGCTACTTTATCTTGAGCCCGGGAACCTACGCCATTGTTCCTGCTGCAACAGCGGACCAGGAATTCAAATTTCTCTTACGAATTTTCATAAAGAGTCAAGACTACAATGAGTAAGATGATACACACTCCTTAAAGGCCCCTGACTCACAGCCTGACAGGAATTAACTATTTAATGTCAAGACAACTGATGTGGCAATTTGCTTTTAGTGTATCCTTGGAGGGTGGGGAAGGCACAGAGGAGTGTAAAGCACCTGTTGAGGGGGATCAGTCCTGCACTGCAGAGCAGGGCAGGAGCTCATCTGCAGCCACCAAGGGTCTCAGCTTTGGTACAAAGAGCCACACAAGGGAACCATAATTGTCAGATATGTCCTCGAACCCTGATTGTGGGAACATTTCTCTTTGCTGAAAGAAGGATTGTGAGCTTGATTTCCCTTATTCTGAACAGCTGTTCAGTAGTTTATTATGTTCTGCTGGCTGGATGCCAGATGGACCACGTCCCATTCTGCTCAGAGTGGGACCTGGAGAAGCCAAGAGCAGTGAAAGGCCTCGATCCTTTCACTCAGCCACCCCATAGACAGGCAGGGCTCCCTGTAGGCATGAGAGCAGCTTTGGAGATAAGTTCAGTGGAAATATGGTATCTGAGTTCATGCAAAGGCAGCTATTACCACACACACACGTTGACATTACCACGTGAATATTTGGGTGTGGTTTACTCCAGGTAAGCAGGCTGTGAGTCCCAGCATTCACCAAATGACCTGCGAGCATCAGCTGTGCAGTGCCTTCAGCAAGCTTTAGAGTGGATGTGATTGCAGCTCTTACCTCACTGGCCCATATCTTAATAATGAGATTGCTTTCCAGGCTTTGGCCCCTGGCAAAAATAGCCCAGAACCAACTGAGGCAACTCCTGAGTTATGGAGAGCAAACACAAGGAGTCCGTGCTGTGGGCTGGACTGCCTTCAGCAGGGTGAGTCACGTGTGAGACAGCTCAGCCCTGGAACTGAGCTTTTCAGGAGCCTCTGACCTTCACAGACCTTCCTGAGCTAGGCCAGGTGTGGATGTGACCTTCCAGTGAGTCTTTGCAGCACTTACCTATACAGATGTTATAAAAATAGAACCTGGCTTGTCTAATTTCTCTGCCACAAGCAGAACTCAAGTACTGAATGTGGCTGACAAGTGTGCCTTAGAAACAGTGACCCTGGCCCAGTTTCAGGCAGTCTGCAGACATTTAGATGTTGCCTTTTAATAGCCCAGATGCTGGTTTTATTCCTGACTGTTAAGTTGGGCAAAGAGAAAGGAGGTGAAACATTTCTTTGGCTGAAGGCAGGGCAGCCCTGTATTCTGCATGGTGAGGTTAGTCCTGGCGTGCTCAGGGTGAGACAAGCTACCCTTTCTCTGCTGCTGGTGCCAACAGAGCTGGCTTGGGGAAGGCAGTGGCCCCAGAGAAGCTGGAGACTCGGACCTGTCTGTGCCTGTTTGCACAGAGAGGCCCAGGACTGGTGCAGCAGCCTTGTCTGAGCTGGGCCATGGGTGCTGAGCATCTTGTGGGGCTGTGGGCTGTGTGAGTGCTGCTGGTGGTGCCTGCCTTCTGCCACAGCTGCAAATCAGTGCTCTGGAAAGGCCTCTTTTCTCCCTGTTTGATTCTTGTAACTCTTTTCTAGGAACTCAAACTCCCCCACCGGCTCAGTACTGCCAATGGTAAGAGTCTGAAAACTGGTGAAGGTGCTGATGGTGATCATTTGGTCACCTTTACTGACTCCTCTTCACCTGCTTTTTTCTCCCTTTACCACCCACTACTGTCCCAGAGTTTGACTCTGGCACCCTGCAACTTTGCTGGCCACCTCTCTAGATAGATGGGAGTGACAACAAAGCCCTTCCTCTTCTCATGTCTTTTTCAGAGCCTGATTTTTGAGGAAACAGGTCTTATACAGTCCCTTTGTCAGCCTGTCCATCTGTCCTTTTCACCTCACCATCTTTAACACTTTGGCAAACCAAATATAGGAGGGGAGAGAGCACTTAAAAGCTTCTAAATTCTTTCAGTGTCTGTAAGATGTATATCTTTGGGGGAGAGAGAGAGAAACTTAATTCCTGTGAGTGGGATTGGACATGCCTTCTCCATGGGAATGATGTAATTTAAGTGCTTGGACCCTATAAAGCACAGGAGTCTATAGGGATGAAACTCAAATCAGATTTCTGCTTATTTTCATCAGGATGAAAGAGACAGAGACATAAAGCAAACTGCACTTTGAAACTGGCTGCATCTCTAGTTCAATCCACATATTTTCTTCTCCAGCCCAGCTACTGTGGGTTTTTTGACTTGCTGTGAGCTGTGCACATTGCCAGGGCTGGTCCAGTCCTGCTAGTCCCACCAGCAAAACCCTGACACTGAGAGGCTGCTATCTACAGCCTTCAAAGACACAGATCTTTGAAGCCAGAGGTGAGAAGCTGCTTCAGGAGAGCAGAAAACAGCCCCTTCCTTATGACTCATTTTCCAGAACACAATTAAGCCCCATTAGAGGGGTAGTGTAAATGGTGACTTTTTATCTCTTTCCACTGACAAGCTGTCAGTTTACCTGACTTTAGTCCTTAGTCAATGTTTTGACTTTGATGAATTGTAGTACCCACAGTTTCTGCTCCTGTTCAGGTATTTGGGCTTCTTTGGTATGAAGTATCTCACACAGAGATGAAGACATTGGGTCTTGGGCTTGGATTTTTTTTTCTGAAAACTTTATAATGTTAAGGATAATTCCCCTTAAAGCCAGGTAGATCATTTCACTGGAAGGTTGAAAAAAATCACATAACCATTGAATTGCAATTGCTCAGGTATAGTCCAAGCTTATCTTGGGGTTGTGAAGGTACAAGAGAAAGGAAAAGTCAACTCATGCTCTATTTTCTTGGTTCACATGAATCTCCATGTGCCCTGAGCAGTGGTCCCAACCAAGGTCCGCTAATAAGGATCAGGCTTTGTGTCTCTATACTGAAGTACTGACTTGCTGAATTCCACCCTGGATGTGTTCTGTCATCTTCCTTAGGCACTGAACTGCTCCTTCCTGGTTGTACTAACTGCTGACATCTGAAATATGTTGCTTCCTTCATTGCAGTAGCAGTTGCTCATTCCTAGTTGACTTTATTTTGGGGGTGTGAAAACTGCAGCCTGTGCTGTACATTCCCTGCCCCTCTAAAGTGTTGCTTGGATTAGCAGACTTTTGCCTCCAGTTGTTTTGTAGCTGAATTATTTATGTCTGCTCTTTGTTTTTGATGCAGGATGTATCAAGACAGAACCAGGACAGCTCCTATAAGGCTCTTTTCCTAAGATATGCTAAGCAGGTATAATCTCTAAAACATATTGTTGAAAAAAAATAATAAAAATATGACATCTGGAGTTGAAAAAAAGAAAAACTGATCTATGGTGTTGATACAAATCCATTTAGAATTTTTTTTTTTTGAAATGTAGCTTCATCCTCAAGTGGATACCCTGAAAATGGTATTGATTGACCTGCCAAAACCCCCAGAAATATGGGACATTCAGCTGGGATAGATTGTGTAGTGCTATATATATCAGTGGACTATTGGAGATTTATAGTTATGCTGGTGATGGGCTTGCATGTGTACTTTCTTCTTTTTTTTATTATTATATTTTTATTTGGTTTGTTTTTTTGCTGAAAGCAATTAGAAAGTCTTGGGCAGTCCCCCCTCTCATCAGCATCATTTTCCATTTGCCTTCTCAGCACTTGGGAACCAGACATCAGCGTTTGAGTAATTGATTCCTGCTCTTTCAGAGCCAAGCTCTGTGCTCACAGGAGATGCTTTTAATGGTTTAATAAACTGTTATAAAGAACTCCTTGACTTAGTCAAGAGGAAAGAAATCACTGTCAAAAGTCTCTGCACAATGAACCTCTTGCAGTTAATGGTTATATCAATGCGTGAAGGTGAAAATGAGCACCGTGCTGCCACGCCGGGTGCCCCGGGGGTGTCTCGGGAGGGAGGCAGGGATCACTGATGGGCAGATCCCGGGAAGCAGCTCCTGTGCTCCCAGCCCACCCGCACAGCTGCCTGCTGTGCTGCCCATCCCTGCAGAACAAACCCCACGGTGATGGCAGTGCCTGTACTGTGTATAAGTAAAGCCTTATGAAAGAAAAGCCTTGTTGACCTCATAAAATCATAACTCAAGCCTACTGCTTCAGCTAAGTAGAAGAAAACTATAAGAGAGTGACTCAACTAAAACAAGAGTTAAAAAACCATAAAAGACATAAGAAACGTGCTACAGAAACTGCTACATATCCACATTGTAGTGTACAGTGATTAACAGTAGTTAACAGTAGTAGTTAGTTAGTTAACGTAAGCTTATTGTGCCTTAAAACTATGTAAACTAATAACCAGCTAGCTACTGAAAAAGCCTAACTTTTACAATTACCACCATCTTCAACATCAATATTGTGTCCACCATTGTGCCTGTAACTCCTCTGCAGCTGTAGGGAAGAACTTGGAGTGGCTTGTAGAGGGCCTTGTTATGCTCCAGAGAGGATGCTGCTGCTCCCTTGGTACATAAACAGAGGTTCTTGGTTGCCACAGTGCCTGAGAAAAAAGGGTTTTGGGCAAAATTGACACAGGAGAAAACTTAACACTCACAGATCTCTCTTTGTGTTTTATTTTGTGTTAGGGCTCAACTATTGATGCCTTGCAGCTGCAACAACTCCTTAATGAAGTGATCTTGCAAGGTAAAGCTTTTACAGCCCAACTCATGTTTCTGGTGCTTGTCTATCCTTAGACAAATTAAATTAGACATAGGATGTAATGGTGTCCTGATGGTCATTAAAAAATCCTCACTGTGGCTTGCTGCACTGTGGGATCAGAGCATGAGAGGGGCACAGCTGGATGGCTGGAGCCAACTCAGCCATGCACAAGGCACAAAGTGCTCTGAAGTACTTGCTAAATCAGCATAAGTGGCCTTTCTTGTCACTGTCATTTCCCTTATCCTTATTTCAAGAGAGGAGAGTTTCCATCTGTGGGCAGGGACTGTGCAGAGTAAGCCCAAAGAGGGCACCTGTCCTTAGGGAAGGTAGAGATGTCTGAGATGTGCAGATTCCCTCAGCTTGGCATAGAGCCCTTCCTGCTGTTTGAGAGCCTGAATCAGGGGCTTTTCAGCTGTGTGAGCCTTCAGCCTGGTGTCCTCCTTCCCTCAGAACGGTGTCCTGATGCCTGTCACAGCCCTTGCTCTTGCTAATTCCTTGTGTTTTGTCAATCCTTGCAGATGAAATGACCAGCCTGGGAGGGAGATTCAGCTTTGATTCATGCAGAGGCATTTTAGCTCTGATGGATGTATCCTTTCAGCAGAAGCAATAAACTTCCCTGGTGCTGCCCATCCTTGCCTTGAGTTATGGCTGAGCTGAGCATCCCAGTGTGAGAACCTGCAAGCAAATATTAGCCCCAGTCCCCAGTAAATAACTGTCCCATAGTCCATGCAGGACTCTGCTGTACGTGCCCTGGCTCTGGTGTGTCTGCTGAGAGGTGAGGATCAACCTTCTGCTACCAGCTGACTCTTTGCTCTCATTTTGTCCTCTCTGGGGTTTGGCTAAGCTTCACCCTTGGGTGGGGGTCTCAGGCAGAGGTGAGACAAGGAGGCAGGACAGAGTTTAGGTGTAGCTCAGCTGTTCTGTGGTGGTTTCACCATGCTGGGGTGGCACTTTCAATAGGCTGCCAGCAATGCTGGTGTCAGGGGCAGAAACACTGTCACTGCTGAACCCCAGGAACATGCCTGGCAGGCCATCCCAGAGTGTCTTTCCAGTGTGTCTTTTCTATTTAGCTGAATCACTCAGTCTTTTTACTGCTAACAAGACAATACAAGAAATACATTTCTGGCCATTGTAGAACAAGAGAGCTCCTTGATGAAAACATCCATTCTCCCATAAATGTGTTTTTCCCCCTTGCTTGCTCATTGTCTCTTTTCCTCCATGTCTTGAAAAAGCTTTGAGACATTTTAAGACCTTTAAAAACTGCCAGAGGATGAATAAAAATGACCAGAAGCCCCTCTCTCTTTCCAGCCTGTCCTGGGATAAGCGGGCTCTGTGAATGCATGGCACGTGCGAAGAGCTGACAAAGCCTCTGCTCTGCTGTAATTCAGGATGTATTTTTAATTCTCTGGCCTGCAGATAACCCATGTACAGTGTGACCTATCCTGGCCTGCAAAGCCAGGATCAGCTTTTTTCACTCGAGTTCCACGACAGTGGCACTTGTCTGCTTGTATTTCACTGGTGATGGGTTTTGCTTTCGGGGAGGTTTCACCATGCTGCATTGGGGTGGGTACTGTGTGTCTGCCGGGGACTCCTGGAGGGGAGCAAGCCCACTGACACAGCCCTTCATGCACTCCTGGGGGGTGTCTGCTTCAAAGGCTGCTGCTGCTGCTGCCTGACTGACTGACTGACTGAAGGCATCTGGATCATCTCCTTGTGCTCGTACCTCCTCAGTGCCTATTCTGGAGGATCCAGGAGGAGCAGGTCCTGTGGGGCCTCATGCAGAGGCAAGGCCCCGGGGCCATGTTCGCTCACAGGGTGTCCGTGCTCTGGGGTTAAATGTCACTGCAGCTTCCCCTGCAGTGTTTTATATATAAAAAAATACATATTTTATATATATAAAGTTTTATATTTATAAAAATAGAAACCTTTTTTGGACTGTGAGCACAGGCACGAGCAGCTGTACAATGTGTCAAAGAAGGTGGATTTAAACACGACAAAGCTCTTGGCTTTCTCAGCACGAAGACAGAAGAGGCCACATCTCGTGTGTTTAAGTTCTGTGAAGGCAGCATCCTCAGCAGCAAAGACAGCCCAGGTTTAGATCTCATTAAGTGCTCGATTCTTAACTAAATGCACAGCTCAACTCGAATGGAAGACTCACCCTGCAGGAGTTCGGGAGCCTCTGGCGAAGTCTCACTAAGTACATGGTACGGGGTGGGGGTGGCTCTCTCTGGGCTGTGTGTACTCTGGATTCTGCGGATTCTGCAGATTCTGCACCCCAGGGCTTTCCAGCAGCGGGGAGCAGATGCTCTGTGCTCTCACAACGCTGCGGGGGGAAGCCTTGCCAAGGTTGCTTGCTTAGCGGGTCAGAGTTCCCTCCTCTCACGCAAGGCAGGCAGTGGTGTGTGTAAAGTGCTCCAAATGAGCAGCCCAGGCTTTCCCAGCAGACAACACTGAGGGAAAATGTAGGAAGGCCAGTTAGGCTCAGAATCTGATGAAAATCTCCATGTCTGTGCCACCACTGACAGTTTTTTTTTATTTTTTTTTTAAGGCTTTCTAAGCTGAAATGAGTTCTTAAACAGAATCATCTGAAAAAATGTCATTTACTCATTTCTTCAGTTTCTAGTGGAAACGTGTAGGATCTAATGAAAGCTTGTCTGGGAGAAATGTTTCTGCTCCAGGATAAGCACTGGAAGCAGTGACATAGTATTTAGGGTCCCACCTAAATTCTTCAGGGCACGCATGGCAGCTTCTCTGTGTCAGGTCCTGCTCCCTCAGTCATGGTGCAGGACAGGAGGGCTTCCTCAAGGCTGAGGTTTGGGTGGGCTCCGATTTATTCCAGCCCGTTCCCTATCTGGACAGGGCTGTTCTTCCCACTGACAGCACCTCAAATGTGGCTTGTGGTGTGTTAGGAAAGCAAAAAGTCTTCTGTCCACCCCAAACTGTGGGATTTCTTACACAGTAAAATTCTATCAGAGCCTTCTGAAAAAGGGTCTCCCTTGTCAGTGCCACCCCATCTCACCTGCTGAATTTCCTTGCAGGCTATTTATTAAAGGAGGAGAACTTACATAACTCATTGCAGTAGTAAATATGGGGAATGGTGGCAAGAGCTTGAAATCTGCCTTTGCACTGTATTTTAGGATATCTTCAGCAAGGAAGACAGAAACCGTTCTGGATTTCTTGATGTTGCTGAACTGAAGAATGCGATACAGGCAGCAGGTACGCCCAGAGGTGCCGAGCAGCTGTGCTCTTCAGCAGAGGTGCCTGTGGCAGTCAAGGAAAGGATGAAAAAGAAAGAGGAAAGAAAAAAGACCTTTGTGGAGAAAGTGGCTTGGATTTCACAGAGATACCAGTTAGATCACAGCTCTGCTGAGAGATCTGTGCTGGGGAGCCAGCAGAGATGCAGAGAAGTGCAGCACCGGGCAGAGTGGCTTCTAGGTCATGGATGGAACATCCAGTGGAGAATAGGAGAAAGGAAGAGTGGATTCTTGCACTTGCCTCAGTTCCTGCAGTTTCTCTCCAGGGCAGTGACTAAGTCTGGAAGGGAAAGCCACACCGACAGGCATTTATTTAGTTTGCACTGACCTCTGTTGGCTACTGAGTGCTGAAACTCTCAGTGAGTGCCCGAGTGAAGCACTTTAGCTGAGTCGTCTCAACAGAGACTGTGTGAAGTACATCTCCGACAAGCGATCCCCTTTTTACTGTACAGGAGAGAAGCTCCCATTTGGCTGCCTGGAGCTCGGAGGGTGCTGTCCCAGGATTGCTGTCCCTGGAAGCCATCAGCTGGGGACATGCATGAATAATTTTTTTTTGCTGCTGAGAGCTGTGCAAAGCATCAGCATCTGCCTGAGAAGCGCAGCACTGATGTGCCAAATGTCAAAGGAGAAGTTGCCAGGGCCATTCTGTGAGAAAGATGCTAACGTGTAAAACTGGGAGGAAAATTGTACATGGAAAAGTCCTGTCAGCCAAAACAATGCAGCTCTTTGAAGGGATGAAAGACACTGTTAAATGGCAATTCAATACATGTTTGGCTGCAAGTAGTTCTGAGTGGGGAAGAAAATTACAAGCTCATTCTTGCTGCCCTCTGAGCCAGACATCTGCATTTGAATCTGGCTTGGCAATGGGATGATGCCTGTCCTGGCTTTTGAGCAGGAACCCCAGAAGGCATTTGGGGGCTTGGTGCTACCCCTGGGAATAATATTAATGTATCCAAATCCAGCTCCTAGCCAGCTGTTCCCTGAAGAGTTCAGTGCTTTCCCAAACAAAACACTCCAGTGTGTGCTTAATTTTCACTGTTTTCCTAATGCTTCCAGTAATAATAATAATGGATCAGAGTAAAGCAGGCCAGCTGCATTAACAGCAGTGCTGCCCTGAAATGCAGCAGCATTGGCCTGATATATTTAAAGACTCCCCTTTGGCAATGGTAAATGATTCAAAATAATTTTTATAAATAGGGAAACGTCAAGTCAGTAATTAAAAGCTTGGCTAAAACCAGAGGATAAAAGCAGATGAAAGGTTTGGGGAGTAGTCTTACAAATCAGCTGAAAAGTCTTGGGAACAGGGAGGACTGGCCCTTCAGTCTTGCTGAAGAAGTTTAATTGAGAGGCATTGCCAAGTGAGCAGATTTCAGAGCAAGTGTATCCCAGACTGACCAGGTCAGATTGTTGGTGTTTTTAAGACTTGATTGTAGCATCCCATAAGCAATATTTGCTGGAATCTTCTCTCTGGAGAGAGCTTGATTGAATTTCCACTGTCTTCAAAAAGGTTAAAAATGTAATTCATTGCTCACTGCTACAGTGGTTTAACACCAGAGTCAAAGAAGACATTTCATTAATTAGATTTATTTTTAATTACTATCTTTATCTCCTTTGAAAAGAATATAAAATCAGGTTTACCTTAATTTGAAATGTATCTTAGGCCCAAATGTATTTCCATTCTTTAATTGCTCAGCATTGCGTATCGGATTCCTGCTGGAGACCTCCAACTAGGCTCATGCAACCAGAGTTTGTCAGTGGTGCTACTAAACCACTCCCAACAGCTCTCTCTCCCTACACAGGTGTAGAGAAGCCATTTATTTTATTTCTGTTTTTTCAACTAATTTAGCTCCATGATGAGTTCATTTAAAACTGAAAAGTTTAGAGCTGGTTGAAAAAGCAGGGAAGTTACTTCACATCCAGCTGAGCTACTAAAACCTGGAGTGAGAAAATGAGACTTTTCTGAAGTCTCAGAGAAGGCATTAAACCAAAGCTATCAGTCCAGCTCTCTGCAGAAAATTTCCCTTTTGTTTTGCAAATCAGCTTTTAGTGCAAAATATATTTAAATCATTCCTCTTATATAGCCAGCACACATAGGGTAGTTTTATTTAACTAATAAAAGAATCATTCTAAAAAGCAATTTTCGTTCATTCAATTGAATACCAATTTCCATCCAAACAGACTGCGACACAAATACTGAATAATCAGCTAATAAAAAAGAAATGCATCCTTCACCATTTTCTAATAGAAGAGAAAATATAAAAATTAAGAATCCCAGGCATGCTATGCAGCATAATAGCCTGAGCATGCGGCATCCGCCTCTTTAGCAGAAAGAGCCAGTGGTATTGGAAATGCTACACTCAGACTTCTACAGTCATGAGCTAAAGAAAATCACCCTTTCTTATAGAAAATAGAAGCTAAAAGGGCAAGATAACACTAGATTAGTTAGCTCAGTGTTTGCAGCTTGCTGACTTAAGCCACAATGGGAGTCCGTAAGGCGACTTTGGTTTTCCATTGCCCCGCCCCGACTCTTTGGCACGAGGTGGGGGAAAAGGCTGTCCAGGAGTGTATGACAGGGTGAGGGGCTGAGGGTGTCCCCAGCTTGTTGGCAGGCTGCAGGAGAGCACCAGAGCTGGTCCATCCCCTCCCAGTGTGTCTTCCCTCGGCAGGTCTGGCCACCAGCGGGCAGCTGCTGCGCCTGATGACACTGCGCTACGGCGATGCTGCTGGCAGAGTTGGCTTCTCCGACTTCGTGTGCTGCATGCTGCGCCTGGACACCATGAGCCGTGAGTGCCAGCACCCACCAGGGCACGGGCAGCAGGGCAGCCTGCAAAGCCAGGCTGAGAGCCAGGGACACGACACCAGGCTTAGCAATACGTGTCTGACAGCGTGGCTTGGAAGTGACGCGCCTGGCCCAAGTCCAGGCATGGCCCAGGCAGCTCTTTGGGCAGCCTGTTTGCCAGGAGTCTGGTTCATCTCCTGTCCTCTGGAGCAACTGGCTGCTAGAGAGCAGTTCAGTGTTCAGTAAAGTTCTCTCAGTTTAGTGGTAAGGAGAAAGTCTGGTATCCCCTGTGGATAAACAAACCCATTCCCTGTGTTGCGTCCAGCTATTGCAAGGAAGGCGTGTCTGTAAATGAGCTTTTGCCTGAATGGAAATGCAATTCTGTTTCACAAAACTGTGATTTTTGCTACTCTGATAATAAGCATTTTGACTGGAACTATTGGTAGTTAAACAAAGTCAGCAACTGTGACCCCAGTGCTAGAACATTGCTACAGCAATTTATTCCATCTCTGGAATGAGCTGGGCTTCAATGGTGCGTGGAAAGGAGCGTTCATTTTCTCCCATGTGTTTTTAGCACTGATGTTTAATGGGCCAATAGTGGTCAGCAGACCTGCTTGGATGACACTGCCTAAAATCCCATTTCAAGGGAGTACAGCAGAAGCAGCTCTGAAACTGTTTCAATGTCAGAGCATGTCTCGATTTTAATGCTTTCATTTTAAAAAAAAAAAAAAGCTTGTAAACACCCTTTTTTTATGATTATACTTGTCACTTGCTGTAGATGAAAGTTTTCATGCCTAAATTAGTGCCATAGTATTTTTTTTCATTTAAAAAAGATCCTTTTACATTTTAAGTGCCAATATAAAGACAAATCCTTTGCATCCATGTGGAAAGGAGTCTCTAAAAGTTTCATTGCTGTCTGTAATGAGAATCTTAAAATGCTCTCCACTCTTTCAGTTATCACTTTACAGAGGGTTTAATGTGGAATACATTTCTCAGACTTTTTAGATCATTGTGAATAAGTTTGTTACAGGAGAGGATAAGGGTGCCAAGTGGGAATAAAAGGCAGTCAACCTTTATGAGGATGTGAATGCAGCAGGGAAGATAAAATCTGTCCCATTAAATCATTACTCATCCTTTCAAGATAGCCAGAGATGAGACCCAAACCAAAAGCAGCAGCTTCTTTGCAAATTCTATTTAACTGGACTTAATGAAGCAGTAAAGAGGCACTTTACCTCTGCCCAGAGGAGGTAATTTCAGCACTGCCACTTTTTCCTAAAAAGACTGCTGGGTGCAGACCCAGCCCTGCAAATACAGCCTTGGACTGGGCACAACACCAGGGTTTCCTCGCTCTGTGCCTTTCTTCAGAGCAGTGTGGGCTGGATGTGCCACCTTTCCTCCCTGCTCTGGGCCACGCAGGAAGCTCTGGTGCCCTCTTAAGGGGCAGATGAGCAAGGAGCCCTTGTGCCCTGTTCCTACCCTCTCCCAGCAGCCTTTTTGCTAAGGCTGGGCAGGTTTCAAAACATCTGTAATCGTACAAAGTCTTTTTCATTCAGGGTGGGAAACTCCAGGCTGCCAGAGGAATGTGTCATTCAAGGATAGACAGACTTAAATTTGTTTCAACTTTTTATTACTGTTTATAACGGCACATTTCTCGGAGAAAAGTAATTTCAAAATAAATAAAACCCCTCAAAATACTGTGTTTTGAGTTTATCCAAACACTTGGTTTGAAGGCTTCTCCTAGACATACTGCAATATAAATATGCACATAGAATAACAATATTTGAATGGATTTAAATTTTCTGATGGCAAAGTGTTCTGTCAAAAAAACTTTCAGCAATGTTAATTTCAAACTCTAGCTGAATAACAGCAGCATCTGCATTTATATTCCCTGCAAAAAGCTTGCAAGGCATACTAATGACTTCAAGAGAACCACTTTCTTTAGGGCAGACTGTGATCACTCACTGTCTGGGAGGATGGAGAAGGACCAACAGAAAGTTTCCTTGTGGGATGATGTGTTTCATTCACCTTCCTTCTGTCAGTCTTCAGGCAGGAAAACAATTGAAACAAATTATGAGAGGAGATGAAAGCAGCTGCATTGAGCACTGCCTGTCCCGACACTTCTGCCAAATTTTGGCCCCAAAATTGGGATGCCTTCCCAGGCTGTTTATCCGAGAGCCAAGGCAGAAAGGGTACCCAGCTCAGAAAATGAGATGTGGCCAGGCAGGACACCTGAGCCAGGCAGAGCATCCCAGCACAGGGATTGCAGTTCTGCTCCTCAGCTGCCACAGCCTTGTCTCTGCATTGTATTCTTGCTTCTTCCTCATGAAATAAGTTTTTTTTTGTTCTGCCCTTAGATGCATTCCAAAACTTAGCAGAGGGTGGATCACAAATTTCGATGACAGCAATGGAGGTAAGAACGCTCCTTCTCTTCTCCCCAGCTCCAAAGTGGGAGCACATGTTAGCAGAAGGGTGAAGTTAAAGATGATGTGTGATGTATGTTGCTAGGCTTTTGCCCTAGCAAATAGTGGTGGAGGTTTTGCCTGGCTGGAAGTAGATGCTGTGTGGGAGGTGTTTCCCTGGAGGTCCCTGGCCCCACGGGTGCACTGCTCAGAGGTGGCCACCCCTGGGCAAGGCATGGAGTCTTCTCTTACTGACACCAGCCCGTCATTGGTGGAAACATTGCTCAAAGTGACTTTGAGGAAGTGACCAAAAAAACAAAAAATCCATGTCCTCATTTCTTACTGCCCCATCTGTTAATCCTGAGTTGCAAAACATCTTGGTTTTAAGAAAGAAACAGCAGACAAATGCTTGCTGCTGCTGTTTGTCTTAAAAGCACAGCCTGAAGGATAGCTCTCTGAATGGGGATGCATCAGGCTTTTTATCAGCTAGTCTGAAGCAAAAATCCTGCTGTGCTCTATGGTGATATGCCTGAGTACTGCATTTTATCAGTCTGGGGACTGTTATTTGACAACCCAGTATTTAAAAAGATTTTTTTAAAAAGCCTTTTGCAATCTCACCAGCTCCCGTTTATACTCTGTGCTTAGTGCAAGCCTCATTGTTCATTAAATCTGTTTTGCACCAAGGGCAGAGAACAGTTTGCAAGCACAGGACCTGAACCTATTTTATAGGGGAGTCTGTAGGACAGCCAGGTTCCCAGAAGTCACTATCTCTTCCACTTGCAATCAGGCAGGTGCCATCCTTTCCCTCCAATTGCTCCTGCTGCAGCTGCTGCAATAATTTATCATGGAAAACAACATATGGAAAGAGTTTCTGGGTCTGAATTGTAATAAGGGAAAGAGGCAGTTCCAAAATCCCTTAACTATCCTGTGCAGTACAAAAGGACTACAGTCACTGGGTCACTCCTGAAGGTCCTGAGACAAGCCTGAGCACAGTGGTGTACCATCACTGTCTAAATGCACCTTTTCTTCTCCTTTTTCCAGTGGCTGACCCTTGTCATGTACACCTAGAGAGATGCCAGAAGTCATGGTAAGAAATCTCCTCAGTGCTGACAAGAGAGGGTGGAACACTTGCAGGAAGCTCAGCCTGGGGTTATGGGGGATTTTGGGAGAAGCTGTGAGAGGAAGAGGGGAAAAGGTGAGACCTGCAGCATGAGAAGGGCTACAAAGGGAATTGGACTTTGCACTGTTTTTTCTGAGGAATTGCTGATGGCCTCACCAGTCAAGCAGACCACCAATGGCTCAGCTAGAAACTTGCCCCCACCTGAAATAATAGATGAATGAGCAGAACTTACTTTTTTGTCTCCTGAGGGGTGCAATTACTTCTGCATATCTTACACAGCAGCAAATGTATAGTCAAATAGAGGGCGGGTATACAAAGTAACTTAGATTTCTTGGTCAGTCCGATTTCACATTTTTAACAGCATTACTTGATTTGGCTTACATTTCAACAACAGTCCCTACCTTGTGCTTCTTTTGATGTTTGTTCCTTTCATGCCAGGCCTAGAGGGACTTTTTCCCCCTGGACTTTCCAATTTTGCTGCTTGATTCTCGTGAAAGACTCTGCCTTTTCCTGCAAAACTCGAGCTGTTTATACATCCGAGAACCATCTTGGCCATCGTGCTTCTGCTAACCCTCTGTGATGCCACTGTTCCAGCTGCAGTGTTAAACTGCTGGTGCTGGTCCCAAACATTTGACACTGAGGAGAAAGGGAGGAAACCACATCCTTAGGAAAACGTGCCCTGGAGGGGAAACTGACCCCAGGAATTTGTGGAGCATCCTTGGGCAAAGTCAGACACTCCTTATCAACCTGGTCCCAAAATGGAGTTAAAAACCCAAACCCATGACATTCTTTGAAATCCATGGACTGCATCCAGATAAGCCTTAGATAGACAGGAATTACAATAATAAATAATACATGAACAGCATCTCTGGTGTCTCACACCCTGTTTCTGAAGGCAGTTTGTGTTGGATGCCAGCTTTGGTGAGAAGTTGGAAGGGCAAATGTATAACTGGGGTTTAAATTACACTCCCCCAGGGAGAAAGCATGGTAGGTTCAGAGCCAAGACAGGGATGGCTCCATGTTTTTCACCTTGACTCCAGGAAACATTTGTGCCCTGCTGCTCCTCCCTCTTGGCACCTGGTTACGTCCAGGGTGTCCAGCTGTGGCAGCAGCTGGGCTTCAGCACTCAGCACTGTGATGCCTTCCCCCCTTGAGCTCTGCTTGCAAACAGTTGTTTGTTTGAAAGTCTGTCCTTTGCATTCAGAGCTGTGGACAGTGCAAACCTGCATTTTGATTTGTGGAAACAGAATATTCACAACACTGCACCCAGCACTTGCACTGCAGACTGTCATTAGGTAAATATGAGAAGGACCTCGCCTTTGGAGATGAAGTTGCTTAAATTATTGCTTGCAAATTATATTCACAGTCTATTTAGTTGTCTCTTTTTTTTTTTTTCATGAATCATTCATAAACTGATCGTAACTTCTGGGAATATATAATTAATCATAATTTTCACTTACTGGTTTGGAATGAAATCCTGCCTGTGGGGTGTTTGTAAGCAGTTCACTTGAGCAATTTAGCAGACAGTTGCAGCTGGAGCCTGGGCAGTTGTGGCACAGGACCCTCAGAGGACCAGAACTGTTAAAACTGGAGTCTAACAAACTGTGATTGATGTGGGAAAACACACTTGGCATTCGCTGAAAGAATTTTCTTGGCAAAAATATTCCCATTAGTGATTCCTAAAGGCTGACCTGAAGCTGGCTGTGTTCTGAGTGAGTCTCTTTACCTCTGTTTTAGGTGACTTTTCGTCCTCCTCGGTAGAACAGTACCCAGGCCACCCCATACAAAAGCCATGGATGGAGTTCTTGAAAAACCACTGTGAAGGAGTGAAGCCAGGTGTGTCCTTATGCTTGGTAGTACTCAGATGTTGGGATGAGAAGTCCTTTCCAGGCAAACTGGAGTTGCCTTGGAGAGAGAAGAATTGCTAATGAAAGCACTCCATGGGCAAGCTGGTAGTACTTAATGGTCTGGGCAAGCGGGAAATGTTGCCTGTAATCTCCTCTCATCTTACTATAAGTACTACAGAAGTTAGGAACAGTTCCATTAACTCCACTGCGAAAAAGAACAGACCCACACCTTTTGTGTGAAAGGCATGTATAAGATATAGGTTACAAAAACAATCAAGACACAGTTTTATTTGAGTTATTTCTTAATTTTCTTGTGCGCCGTTTGTAAGTGCCAGAAAATGATTGAAGAAATTAGTCATAATTCATAAATAACACCAGAAGTTTTTGATTTTCTTTATACTTTTTATTAATAAATTAAGAAAAAAATAAGTCTTAGCCATTTTTGAGTTCATCAACTATAGTGATTCCATTTTATTTGCTACAGCAATGGGGTGGCATATTAGAGACATAGAACAGATTGTTCGGTGCATTTTTTTCTGACTTCTAGAATCTATATTGGGACTGTCTGGGAATAGAAAAGTTTATCTTAACTGCATTCTCTTCCTCTGTCCTGATGTCTTTAAAAATGAAGGACTTCTTCAGACATAATTCCTGGTCAAAAATTTAACTTAAACCTGCAAAGTAACCATAACCCTTTTGTCCCCACACATGAACTTCATTTTCATACTTTTTTATCATGGTGTTCAGAACAAATTTAGTGATCTATTCCACTTAGCTATTGGGAATGGAAAAAAAAAAAAAATAAAAAATTGAAGACTCTATTTGTGAAAATGCCGGAAAAGAAGGATGAAAATATCAATGGATGAAAGAAATCCAGGGTTGCCATGGCAGCGTCATTCACACCATGCCTCACCCAGACCCTCTGCACAGGTTTCCATTGAGGCATCCACACGTTAGCAACAGATTTACCCATTTGGCAAGGAGATGTCACACACTGGAGCAAGAACTAAATCACAAGATAAAGATGAAGCCCAGATCTTTGTTATCATGAGTTCAGTCTGTATTGTGTCACTGCCTTGTTCAGCAGCTTGGAGAGCATTACTCTTACAGGTAGGTCCTAGGTAAGAGGGGCCACTGAACCCACTCTTCCACTGAAAATTAGAGCAAGGGGAAATCAGTAAAATTAGACTATTTTAATATTTTTTTTCAGTAATTTTTGAACAAACTGATTCCTTCTCCAAAGCAGGACTTACATGTTCCACCTGAAATCGTTAATCACTAATTAAGCCCTCTGCGAATGTTGGCAAAGAGAGAAGAAAAAAGGGGGCCATGGAAAAATAAATATACTTTGCTAAAAAGGTTTATTAGTGGAAGCATTTCAGAAAAAGGTTTATGTAGCTTAGCCTTGGAATTCAAAAAGGATAATTAGAAAACTTCAAGTATTCCTGGATGACTTCCACCACACAGTTCAGCAGTGCTCAAGATGGCCCGGACCTGCTGGGAACAAGCTCTTTGTAGCTACAGAGAAGTCATCTCTCTTAAAGTTGCAAAATTCAGTTCAAGTCAACTGGTTTAAATACATTCTTGTTGTGAGAAAGCCTTATCTATAAAAATACCAAGCCATTAAGATTAATCTTAAAAACCTTAATTTGCGGCCGATGTATTACTTGTCCTTTTGTTGTGATGTGTAGCTGCCTTTCTGTGGAAGGCAGTTCTGCCTGTCAGGAGACAGAGATCCTTGTCTCATAACTCAGCCTGGCCACAGACTGAAATGTCTCCTCTTCATTAAAAAGCACCCCTGGTGAGAAACATCACTTATCCATGAGCTGTCTCCCCGTGAGCAGCTGCTGGGGGTGATGCTCTGCGGAGTGTCCCAGGCACAGAGCCCCTGCAGAACCCGCCTCCAGCTCCATCCCAGATGCCCTTCACCCAGCTGTGTGTGGCTCTGTGCACACCAGCACTCTCAGGGACCAACCCATGGCCCCTCTGGCTTTGCAGGCTGGTGCCTGCAGGCTGATCCTGCACTGGGGCAGAGTAATAACTCACTGCTGTCAAGCTGAGCATGGCTGCCTGTCTGTGGCATTGGAAGAATTGGTATTCCACTTGATTTATACCTCCAACCAAGCTAATTAAGCAACAGTTCAGGAGGAATCCATCATTGTGACAGACTTGTTGATTAACCATCCCACGAACAAAGTCAAGGGTGTTTGGTAGCCTGAAAAAAAAAAGGTCAATAAGGGAGGAAAGCAATGATTTGGCCATAATACAGTGGTGACTATTATTTCCAAAAGCAACAAGAAGCTTAATACATTTCACAAATACTGGGGCCAACACTGGAAACAAAGGCAGCTCAGATCAGTGGGGTGTTAGATAAAGACAGAAAACTTCTACATTTCATCTTTATGATGTGAAGCTGTGAAGGCAAACTTTATGGGGATGGTGCCCCTATTAAAATCTTCAGGCCCCCCCTTCATCTGTGTTTGCCGGCTCTGAAATGTGAGTGTGGTCCCCATGAGGTTTCTGGCACTTGTGAAGGCTCTGAGAGATTCATCCAATTATGATAATATCATCTCTAATTTTTTTTATTAAAATCAGTTCCTAGTCCTCAGGGACACAAGTCTGAAAAGCCCTAAGAGAATCTGCTGTTAGGAATTGAAGAGAAAGACCTCGAACAAATGCTCTATTTTTAAATCTTCATGAGGCTAAAGCCCTCAAGAGGGCAAGAAGTAGGCTGAAGCAGATGAGATTAGTGATGCTGAGCTCCCCAGCACAGGAGATGGGATATAGAGCTGATGAAATTAGGTAGGATCTAAGCCAGCCATTAGCTCTAGAGGGACTTTGGTGCAGAGTGGTAACAGCTGACCCTGCAAGACTAATCTCTGGATATAATCTTGGAGTCCTGTTGTTTACTGCCCTTCCCCTGAGACCCAAAGGCCCCATGTCTTACATCTGCCTGGCAAAGGCTGTGCCCAAATCATGCCAAGATGGACAGAGGAGGAAGTTCTCACATGTCTTACCTACAGGGTCTGAGCATGCAGCCTGGATCAAGGCTTTCCCAGGAACATTGGAGGCTGTGCTTTGACGCCCACACCTCAGTGAACACATCTTCCTGCTGTGGCATGGGAGACTGGGGGTGTCCATGGCCCATTTTGGAGCAGCTGAACCTCCCTCTCTACCTTTGGCTGTGCCTCAGGTCTCTCACAGAGAAACTGCAGCTGCAATTTATGCAGAATAACTATAACATTTTTCAAGGGAAAAAAAAAAAAAGGCTTATTATTCCATAACCACATGCATGGCTGGAGTGGGGAAGGAAGGCTGGGTGAGACCCTGGCTGTGAGCAGCCCAGTGGCCCGTGCACTTCATGGTGTGCACTAATGATTTTTATTTTTGTTTCTTAATGCAATGCATTTCTCAAAGCAGGGGACAGCTGTGCCCTGCCACAGCAAATGTCCTGACCATAGGCTTCAGAGCCACAAGCCTCTCACAAGCAGGGGTGCAGCACTGAGGGATTTCTATTCCAGTGGAGGAATACCAGCCTGGAGGGGTGCCTGGGGACGCTCAGGTCTGGCTGCTGCCCTCAGCGAGACGGTGACCCTTTCTCAAAAGAGGTACTTGTCCTTCTCTGAGTAGGAAGCAGATGGAAGTTCTGTCAGGAGAGACCCCTCCCCATGTTCTGGTGGCTCAGCAGGGGCATAGACAAATATTGGGATCATTTCTCTGTTGGGGGTTGCCAGCTCTATTTGGCACTATCAAGGTTAGCTTTAGCACCTCTCTTTAGGATCTCTTTGCTGCAGGGCTGCAGCTGAAACATTTCACTCTTACCTGGCAATTCCTTACACAAAATACCTTAACCTACAATTTCTGGCTGCACTCCTGGCACCTGGTTCCACCCTGCAATAGCTGCACCTTTTCAGCCCTGGGGAGGAGGATGTCCAGGCAGTCCCAAAGCACAGCAGCCTCTTCAGAGCCGGCTTCCCAGTGCCCCCCACCAGGCTGGCCATTGTCACCCTGTGTCCCTGCCACCAGCTGTGCCCCCAGCTGTGCCTGGGCCGGGTGTCCCCAGCCCACTGTGGCTCTGGGGTCCATTTCTGCTGCCTGGCAGTGACATCTAGAGGCTCCCTAGCCTGAGCTCCCGTCTCACTGCTCACAGCTCTTGGCACACAGAAACCTGTTCCTCACAAAGCCCCTGGGAAAGGCTGAAGTACTGCAAGGCTTAAATCCAAGTCCTCCCCTTACCCCTCCTTCCCTAAGCCATCATGGGAAGGATCTTAGTTGTAGCCCCCCAAGAAAATTTGACATTGTTTCTGGGACACCAAAGGTCTGGGAATGCCAGCCCATGTCCCTTCCCTGAGAGAAGAACTGTTCCACGTAAGGCTGGTGCTGGTTAAATAATACATACAGCTTTGCACTTGAGGAAATATTATTTCCTTGCTTTACATGCCATCCATTAGATTTGATGCCATCCAGCATCAAAGGCAAAGCTGCCACAGAAATACCTCTGTATCATGGCTGGCTGTGCAAGATGAAAGATTATTGTGCAAACAGTATTACGCACTTAAATGCAATGCATTCAAGAAAAGGGGAGGAAATATATCATCTCCATAGGCTGAATTATTCAGCCAGATGATGAATGCATCTCCTGAAGCATTCCCAGGGTTTGAGCTGAAACACCTACCATGGGGAGAGAGAGGAATACTATTGCCTATATGAAAGGTACTTGGTATTCAAGAGAATGTGTGTTCTCTAGGGTGATATCCCATAGGCATTTTGAGTCAGCAGAGCAGATTGCAAACAATCTTCTGGCTTGAAATCAAAGAAAAAGCAGCTTAGTGGAATAGAGCTTTCTCACAATAAAAATTTTGTAGGAATATTGCAGTGAAAAGTGTGAGGAATGGCTCTTGCCCATCCTGTGTCTTATATCCACCCTCTTCTCCTCTTTACTTATTTTGTC